AAGGAAACACAAGTTTGTGTTCCCTTGGTAGAATATGTTCCCCTTCCGATTGATGAAATGTCACGAGTTAGGAATCTCCTTTTTTACGTCCATGTAAATTCAGCTGGCAGCACATCGAGGCCCAAGGCAGCTGGAAATTCCTCCTAAACTACACGCTTTACATCACTGTATCGGCTGATTTTCATCCATTGACGGATTTTTACAGCTACCGTATGCGTGATAATGTTCGCACCATTGAACAATGTCAAAATTAAAAAAAAAATCAAAAATTTCGAGTTTTTTTTTATTTATTCAAAGGGGGGATGTTTCTCAAAGTCTTAAACTATGTTAATCATCGATCAAGTTTCCACTTGCTGCAATTACGGCCTCCACACGCTTTCGGAATGCACGGCAGGTTCTAATAATGTAGTGGATCCATTTCTCTCCAGGTACGGGTCAATGTTTCCCTGAGGCTTGCTGTACTCGGGTGGCGTTCAGAACAAGCCTTGGCCTTCATGACGCGCCAGCGGATTAAGATCGGGGCTGGATGGCGGCCACATATCCTTCGCCCAGAACGGAAGATGTTCCTGCAACCACTTCTGAGTGCGGTTCGACTTGTGGCACGGAGCCCCATCTTGTTGAAATACAACATTTGGCTTCGGACCGTACTGTTCTTTGATCCACGGAAGAACATACTTACTTAAAATTCCGATGTAGATCTCCGTGTTGACCTTGTCGCCTTCTGGAAAGAACACCGGGTCCATTTTTTGCCATCGGAAGCCACCATTCTAAACACCATAACGCTAACAGGATGCTTGGTCAGATACACGTTCTTGTGCTCGTCGGCCACGTCTTTTACCGGTCGGTTCTGGAATTTGATACGGGATCGACGGTAAACATGCTCTCGTCGGTGAACAGGAAGTTCAAGATTTTCTTGCATCATTCGGCTCGTAGCTCCAGGATGCGGTTGGTAATCATGGGAGTTTTTTTTTCCGTGCCCTCGACTTCACCTCGCAATCTTCCTTTACGATCTTCCGTGCCATAAAGTCACTGATCCCGTGTCCCTTTGCCATTTTCCTTATTGAACGCACTGGATTCATCCGAATCTTCCTTTTGATAGCAGCGATAACCCTCGGAAGCCGAGCTGACCTCGGACGACCTGTGGCCACCTTCGCGGATAGTTGTCCTTTCTTTTCTCGATCTAAAACCCTTTGACGGTCCACCGGGACACTCCCACGGCGATTTAAATGTCATGGTGCAACTGTCAAACTAAGTAAATAATTTTCTTTTATACACAGCCTACTACGGAATGAGCTATAGGTTACGTGCATGCAAAGAAAACCAAGGCATTGTATGCACAGGTGAAACGGGAACCTTATTTGTACGATGGTGCAAACATTATCACGCATACGGTAGCTGCGATTCTGAATCTAATAGGCAACGACAGAAGCGAACGAAGTCCACACAATGAGCAAGCACCTCAACAATAGTTAAAAATGGCGTTCTAGAAATTTTTCAACATATATTTGTGGCACGGAAACGGCATTTCTCATCGAAATGACGCCTGAGACAAAGTTGTCTTTCTGGGGAAAATAAACAAAAAATGCTTTTGTTTATGTTCTGAAAATTAAAAAAAAAAATCCCAAAAAGTCCGTGACCTCTTTAAAAAATTATAAAAATTAACAATTCAAAACGATCTCACCAACTTTCACTGTTTCTTCACCAATTTTCGTGCCTATTTGTGATCTCGTTGTCCTTCTCTGCATCACTGTGTTGCAATTTACAGGTAGCGGTAGAGCAGACTACCTTTGAATGGGCTAACACGCAAACACTGGGAAAATGTGCACCAACGAAATAAAAATTGGGTTAGCATTGACGTTTACATTAATTTATTGTGCCGGCATGGTTTTCTCCTGCCTAACCTCATCTCCTATCTTTCTTCGGCCTTTGCTGCTCTCACTTCCCTACATGTTTTCTCTTCTTCTTTCCGCTTACTTCTTCTTAAGAGTACTCACTCAATGCTGCTGGGTGCACCCTTACCGCCGCTGGATTACCACACTGATGTTCCGCGGCTCGTCCGTCTGACTTGCTCCACACACACAGCACAATGACCACCCGTTGTTTCGTGGTTTGGAGTCCGGTCCGGACAACCCTCATCCGTCGTGTCTACGATGACCTCGCCAGAATCACGCACAGCCCAGACACACTGGCCCTCGTGCAGCTGAGTAGTCCGACCTGCGGAATAGCAATCAGAACAAAAGGCCCTGGGGCGCATATCCCCTTAGTTTTCATGTGGCGACTGTTGGAGTAAAGCGACTTACTTCTGTTTGAAGGCCTTTTTAGCCACAGGCAGTGGTTCTTCACCGATAGCGTCTGTCCGGGAGATCGTGTTTTGGCGTCGTTGCCTTGGCCTGAGTGCACTTTAGAGAGGAGAGTGTGAATTTTCCTACCTTCACTTTCTTTGATTAACTTACCGGTTAATCTGTCGTCGGCAAGCTTCAACGATGTTTGATCGTTGAACCACCATCCGGTGCGTTCTTCTTCGATCGCACAGAGCTGCTCGCGCCCGAGAACACAGTTTTTTACACTGCCAACTTACTATCACGGCAATCGCGATTATCGACCACGCCGTTTTGCGTGCCACTTGTGCGAATGCACTTTTCTTCTGGCTCCCTTTATGCTGTCACTGATGTTTACTGTGCTGGTACTTGTGTGTGTGCGTGCGGAAGCGTTGTCAGCAACGTCAATGCGGAATGATGGGCAAGATAATTTTCGCTTTTCTTTGCTTTTCAAGCGATGCGGCCCATGTGGCATAATTTGCTTATGCACGCTCACGGGAGATTAGGCATCAATAATGCCATACCCCAAATGCTTATAAGCGAATTGCTACTACCCAAAACTAAACGTAACAACTGCTAGTCGCAGTGATCCCATGTTATTTCTGATGTGTTCTACGATATTTCGACGTCCATTATCTTTGTATGATGATCTTGAGTTCCTAGTTGCGTCTTATAAAACCGTAACATCAATGCGGAAAATGGACAGTGTCTCCGGGTATTTTCTTAACGAGCATCACTCCATTGTCGTATCGCATGTGCTCTATTTTGCAACTCTCCTTTCACTTTTACTTTGTTGCCTCCATGGTACCGGAAAAGATATAGATAGGGGAAATGGCTCTAATGTTGGCCTATGGATCTAAGATTGGGCCCATCCGAGGGAGATGACTCTATCTACGATGCAGGAAGTATTGTGTTTTGCTGTGGCTAGCTGCGCGTACGCTGAGTAGATAGAAAGAAGATTTATCACGATTTTGAAGATTTCCTGCAAAAAAAATGATGCACGATGCAAGTAGATGCGAGAAATGAAAGAAGATTTTTCGAAGATTTATTCGCTAGTGTGAGATTTTTTGAGCATCTAGAATTGAGATTTAGATGTGTCGTCCCCCTCGGGCCCATCGCTAAAAATCTGCTATTTATCAATTTTATCTAGATGAACGCGTCATTGAGACGGCACTAATGGATATTTTTGGTCGCTATTGAAAATTTAGTCGATAGCTGAATTTTTGTATGGGTCCAAATTAGGGGCATTTAGGCCAACATTACATCCATTTCCCCTATAAACATTATTAGCAATGATGTGATATAACCACAACGGGATGACCGTTCAGAATGGTTCAATGGATGTAAAATGAGAGAACATTAAAATTTAACACGATTTAAAGTATTTCAATGCAACATTACATTTGTTCACTAACAATTAACACATTTTTCAATATTTCAATCATTACAATTAGTATCAATGTTCTGTCATATCGTATCTTTAAGTGATCTCCGCAAGCGCCACATTTCGTTCAAGCTTTTTGGAACTACATGTGATGAAATATGAAACGCTCCTTTTAAAGTGAATTGCACATAACAATATTCATCACTTACTCACACATGAAATCTGCCTCGACCAACCTGGCAGAACGCGCCCTAACCCTCACTGAACCAACGAACAGGGCCATACCGTCCTACTTCTTATCTTATTTGCCTTTTCTGTTCCAAAAGGATTAGGTTTTGCCCATAGATCTTTTGTTTGAGCTCGGAACCGGATTCAGTGTGCGATCTTGACCTTCCGGTTCCGCAAATGGTCATTGTCATCGACATGGAAACTTCGTTGCTTAAAAATGTTTAATGAATTCAATTAACCACTTTGTTCGAGCAATTAAAATGACGTATACTACCACTCGAACTTTGAACTAGAACATCTAGAACCTCGAGACAAGTAACCAGCATTTGTGCGTTTTTAAAAAAAATAGAAATTAGTTGGTCCAGTTTTGTGAAATCGCTGGTAGAAAGTCACGCCAAAACTGCTTGACAAAGTGGTCAATTGTTATCTTACGGCGACTATCGTTAATTAATTAATCAGCTTGTTCCTCATCCAATTTCTAAACTAGCTTACCTTTTAAATCGTTACGAAGGACAGTGTTCAGTCTTCATGTGTTCCTTCTTCACAATTTTGAAATACTGCAAATGCTTAAATTGCCAATAACATATTTATTATAAGGACACGACGCAACAAAACACAAGCACGTCATTTTTGTAATTGTTGTAGCGCGGCCTACTTCGATCTCTTTTTCAGTATAAAAGGACAATAATATCTGCCAAAATTCTGCCTCATCAAAATGTCCGATGATATCCAGGTGCATTTGGAAAACGGTTTAACATATGAAATGCATTTCAGTGAATGTATTCCACTAAAAGGAAATTTGAATTTCGTATAATAAAAAATCTCACACATTTCAGAGTTATGGTTTGCTTATGTTTAGCGAGAATGTAATGGAATAATTGCGCAATTTGTCACAGCGAATTATCGCCTATTGTCCGCGTATAAGTTCCCATCTAATTTCAACACATTTTCTGTTAATTAAACCCCATGAGCCCTATTGTTTGCCATAATTAAGCTTTAAAAATACCTGCAGACAACCGGAGCACCCCATAAACCATTTCATTGAGTTGGCTAGAAGACCCCAGAGCATCATGTTCGTTCTGATTACCGCCATTGCCGTAATAGGCTTCAGCAGTTCCGTAGCCTTTTCCGGGAGCACGAATTCCACCGCAACATTGATTGCCGAGATAATCGATGCGTACTACATCCTCCGGCAAGTGCCCTTGTTGATAGTCAGTGGAGAAAAGCTTATCGAAGAAGATTTGGTCAGCGGAGTGACGCGTAGTCTACGCTACCCCAGAGTGATTCAGCTTGATCCCATCATCAACGGATACCAATCTTGGTCGTACGCCATATTCTTCTGCACAGATTATGCCGACTTCTTACAGTTCGTAGACAAGCTGAACTCGGACCGGTACGACCTTTTCGGTTACTACACTTTCGTCTTCACCGAGGTCAGTAAAGCCGAAATCTTGAATGCATTCAAAACCTTATGGAAGCTTAAAATCCTCCGAGCCGTACTCATCGCAGTTAACGAGGGTCAACCGCAAGTGTACAACTACTCTCCATACACCAACTACACATGCGGCAAACCGACTGTTTACCGTATCCAGAACCACGTATCCTACGAGCTATTCCTACAAAAACTGAAAGATTTCTATGGCTGCCCGCTTAGCCTGGGTACCTTCGAAACGCCACCGTTTGTTCAATTCGAACGTCAGAGGTTGTATCACGATATCAAATTAACTGGCTTCGAAGGAGATCTCGTCACTACACTTTCTGGAAAGCTGAATTTCCGGATACTCATTGTCAATCCTCCGGACAACGCCCAATGGGGAGTCCCCCAGCGCAACGGGAGCACCGGGTTGATGAAGCTCCTGCAGGATGAAACCGTACACTTTGGGATCGGTTGTCTGGGTTTGATGGCTCAGCGGAACGAAATCCTTCAACCTAGTCGAGCTCACTACACTTCCCAGGCGTTATTTGCCGTACCGGAAGGACTACCCCTGAATCCTTTCGAAAAGCTGTTCAGACCCTACGAGCGCATCGTTTGGATTTTGGTGTGCTGTATCAAAGGTGGCATAGCTACACTGGTGCTGGCGTTGAAGTTTGCTCCCAACAACATCCGGCATTTCATCTATGGTGAGGACAACCAGACTCCGTTCCTGAATGCGATCAGCGTTTTCTTCAATGGAGGTGTGCACGTGGTCCCGGTAAAGACCATGGCTCGGACTTTGTTGATTATCTGGATTTTACACTGCTTCGTGATGCGCACCGTCTATCAAGGTCTACTGTTCCGCTACTTACAGGACGAATCCAATCACAGACCAGTGGATACGATCGACGGGATCGAGCAGTCTGATTTACACTATTACATCAATAAAAATTCCGAACGGTTTTTCCAGCACAACCCGGGTCTGTTGGAACGAGTTCGCTACATAGCTCCGGGAAATGATAGTATGGGTGCAGCGTTGGACGCCATATCTAGCCATAGGGTTCGGGACGGAGTCGTGCTGGTCACCCTCGAGCACATTGCTTACCACAACAAGCATCGATTAGCCCAGGGATTCCTTCGAAGTACCCGAGACAGCTTCTGCTCGTACCCTATGGTTATCTACTACCCGAAGAGGACATTTCTGGTGCGAGTACTGAACCGGGCGATCGGTGAAATCGAAACGGCAGGGTTGATGAGCTACTGGGTCCGTCGGTATGGAAACTACAACTTTTTTCCCAAAAAGATCAACATCGCGCGGCCAACGCCTCTGAACATTCAGCAGCTGATGGGATGCTTCGCATCCATTTGCGTGCTGTGGATCACGAGCTGTGGATTGTTTGCACTGGAATTGCTGTCCTTGAAGACGGTGACCTTGAGAAAGTTCCTGGAGTTTGTCGCTCATAATTAGTCGATTAACATTTCAGAAACTTGTAACACTAACTAGCTTAATATCATTAGCAATTATCGATGAATAGGTTGGTTACCGAGTCTACCATTTACTCTAATGGGAAATCGGTATTGACCATATCATTAAAATCTATCATATTTTTCCCATAACATGGTTACTAAACTAAGCTTCAGAGTGAATCCTACATTCAGTCGTAATTAGAGCGCTAGTTAACATCATGTTCGTTCAAAATATAGTCATTGTTCTAATGATAGGCCTGAACCGCACTGTGGCTTTCACTACCATGGATACCACGGCAGCGTTAATTACGGAGATAATCGATCAGTACTACACCCTGCGGCAAGTGCCTCTACTGCTAGCGAGTGAAGGTAACCCGATCCAGCTGGATCTGATCAACCGCATCGTCTTTAGTCTGCGGCACCCCAGATTAATCCAGTTAAATTCAACCATCTACGACTACAGATCGTGGTCCTACGCCGTATTTATTGGCGTAAGCTACGAAAGCTTCCGTCTACACGTCAACCAGCTGAACTCGGAACGGTACGATCTGTTCGGTTACTATACGTTTGTCTTGAGTGAGGCCAGCGAAGCTCAAATCTCCGACGTATTCAAAGCGTTATGGAAACTCAAAATGCTCCGTACCGTACTCATCGTAGCTAAAGACGACGAGCCGCAGCTGTACAACTATTCGCCATATTCCAACCACACATGCGGTGAACCCACTATTCGTCGCATCGAAAACCACACATCCAGCGAATTGTTCGTACAACAACTGAACGATTTCTACGGCTGCCCAATCAATTTAGGAACCTTCGAAACGCCTCCGTTCGTTCACTTCCAGAACCATTCAATAAACGGTTTCGAAGGAGATCTCGCCACTACACTGTCGGGCATGTTGAACTTCCAGCTATTGATCGTAACCCCTCCAGACAACGCCCAATGGGGAGACCCTCGCCCGAACAATGGCAGCACTGGATTGATGAAGCTCCTCCAGGATGAAACCGTGCACTTCGGAATCGGATGTCTTGGCATTATACCACAACGTAACGAGATTCTCCAACCCGGTAGACCCCACTACAACTCGCGGGTGCTCTTCGCCATACCGGAGGGGCGTCCTCTGAACTCTTTCGAAAAGCTATTGCAACCCTTCGATCGAACCGTCTGGACTGCGGAAAGTGCTGTAATCTGCGTCATAGCTGCGGTAGTGCTGATCCTAAAATTTGCTCCTAATGCAATCCGGGACTTCATATACGGAGCGGATAATCAGACGCCCTTCCTGAATGCGATCAACATTTTCTATACCGGGTGTTTGCACATTGTTCCAAGACGAAACTTTGCCCGAACGCTTCTGATCCTCTGGACCGTTCACTGTTTCGTGATGAGCACCGTCTATCAAGGTCTGCTGTTCAAATACCTCCAGGAGGAATCCAACCATAAACCCATCGATGCCATAGAGGAGATCGAGCGATCGGACCTGCACTACTACATCAACCGAAATGCCGATCGATTCTTCCAGCACAATCCTAGTCTGCTAAGCCGTATTCACCACATCGCACCTGGCAACGATAGCATGACTATAGCGCTAGACTCCATATCTAGCCGGAGAGTTCAGGACGGAGTCGTCCTGTGCACCCTCGAGCACATCGCGTACCACAACAAACATCGGCTCAGTATGGGATTTCTCCGTAGTACACGGGATAGCCTCAGTTCGTATCCCATGGTTATCTACTACCCGAAGCGGACCTTTCTGGTGCGGGTCTTGAATCGAATGGTCGGTCAGATCGAAACCGCTGGGTTGATGAACTACTGGGTACGGCTATATGGAAACTACAACTTTTTCCCGAAGAAGATCGACATCGCACAACCAACGGCCCTCAGCGCTCAACAGCTGATGGGATGCTTCGAGTGCATCTACATCCTTTGGATCATCGGTTGTGGAGTTTTTATTCTCGAACTGCTGTCCCTGAAACTAAACACCCTGAGACGGTTTATGGAATTTCTCGCACATAAGTAGAATACATACAATAAAGTCTAGTGTTATTAGTGTTTCTTTGCAAGCTAGTTACACATCATTTCCAAACAAAACACAATGAAACATCCTCCTAAAGCAATCGCCCACACCTGGAACGCCCCCAACAGTTGCCGTACAGTCAGTTGCTTATGTACGTTTACCGGTTCCACTACAGTAGCGTACTTGTCGTTCACGTACCGGTTAACCCACGCCCGAACGAGGCCATACGGGTTCAACTTGAGCAGTACGTCGTCAAATGGCTTTGTCAGACAGGAATTCATCCGCAGTCCAACACAGATCGGATAGTTGTACAACCGTTGCTTCAACATCCGCAGATAGCGCCCATCGGCGAAATGGGAGTTGTCGTACAGAGTTTTCTCGTAGTTGGATATCCGTGCTCCGCGGAGTTGTCCCCGACGAATGGCATCGTCAAAGTGTTGAATTTTGGCGCCAGGTATGATCTGTAGCTGAGGCTGTAACTCTGGAAGATGGTTGAATACGTACACTTCTGAGGAGAGCACGTAGATTGGATACTGGCCGTCGATAAGCTGCTTCAGTGTAGTGATCGTTGAACGGTTTGGAGACTGCTGCAGGAAGTTGAAAAGGGCTTGTTGATACACGGTTCGGACGATTAAGGCGTGGAAGATCCACAGGATCAATAGGAAACGAGCAAAGTTGCGAGAGGGTACGATAGGAAGGGATCCTCCAAACAGTACGTTCAGCAGATTTAACGAGGGTGTTCGAACGCGGTTCCCAAACACAAATCTCTGCACGATGGGTTTCATCCGGCCAATTACGGCAATCACCAAGAAAGCACTTCCTAGACAACCAACGAATACCAACCATAGCGTATTGGAGAATGGCAACAAAAGCATCTCGAAGGCTTCGTATTCCTCGCCAGCAGACACCAGAACAACCAACTCTGAGTAGTGATAGTTATGAGTCAACGACATGTACTTCATTCGTAGCTGATTGTATCCGAAGAATCCGAGAGTAAGATTCACCTCTCCATCGGTAATCATCTGCATAGCTCCCGTAGTGGTCCCATTTTCAAAAATCAGCCCAAAACGTAGCCCGTTGGGAACTTCCAGAAGAACACCCGTAAAATTGAGCTTCGCTGACAGGTGCTTCAACAGCTCGGCATCTATGCCGTCCATTCCTGCAATAATTCCTCGAGGTCCGTAGCGGAGACGCATGAAAGCTCCGTACGTGTATACTGCTACACGCAAAGGACAACCGTGAAAATTGTGCAGCTTGTGAGGAAAATGAGGTTTGCACAGAAGAAATTCCCCTTCCCGAAATGTATTCCACGTAACCAACTTGACTTCTTCACAGGACCCTGGATGAAATGGGAAGTACGTATACATATGAATCTCACTGTGATTCAAGCTACCAAACAGTACATTTACGTTCACCACGTAATACTGCCACATCAACTGTAGGATACGCTTCGCAACATACTGTTCGTCTTCGCCACCATCACCTAGAACGACGATCACGTACCTCCCGGCAAAGTTGTAGTGTTTGGGACATATGGTAGCGTGAAGGTCTTCGAATGCCCGTAGACCGTCAACGAAGAAAATGTTGTTCACACGAGGTCGACGGATCACGACCGTTTTGTGGTAGATGATCTGCACTACTATCTGTTGGATTTCCAAGGCCTGCAGCACTTGATTTATGAGATTCGGGAGGTGTTGACCAAGTCGTTCGTTGGATGTTTCCCAAGTTATGAAAACTGTGTAGGGGACTTCTCCCAAGTCATCACTGGTGAAGACTTCCGTCGTTGCTTGAAGCAGGAGTTGCGTTGTGGATTCTATTGCAGGAGATGGCGTTAACGGATTCCCGGATACAGCAGCCATCTGGAAAAAGAGCAACGTTAGTATTATCATTGATGATCGGTTTTTGGAAAGACTTACCGATTCACGTTATTTTATACACGAAGCCTCTTTCGGAATGTACAAAAAGAATAATTTGTCACTGGTCCTACAATCCATTCTCATAAAGGTCACTCGTAATCATGGGTTACAAACAACAGGCGTGTCCGAAATTATTAATTGGTGCATTTGTGAGGCAATATATAACCACTGCACTTCCACATTCAATCAGTTTACCAACAATGATTATCGTGTTTGTATTCAGTGCATTGGCCTACGGCCAAGCTGCAGTTTCGACTGTGGAGTCAACCAACGATCTATTGATTCAGGCCACGGCTGATGTCCTCATGGACAGCTTTTCATTTCACGTAGACGCTGTTTACGTAACTGTACTTCTGAAGAATAATCTGAGCAATCCTATCGCTAAAATACTCTCCCGAATCGATGATCCACTGCCCATTGTCATCAAATCCATTGCAGAACCAGCGAAACTCAATTTGACGCAGCATTACAATCTACTCCTAGTTGACTCCTGGCACTCGATCGATCAACTACGGTTCTTCCTGAAAATGGAGCAGTTCGATTTTACCGGGACCTATCTGATTGTCGTTCTACCGTCCGAAACTGTTTGTGAAACTTAGACAACGGTCCTCCTCGAGTTGACCGGCAATCTGCATATCTACGATGTGAATGTACTTTGCCCACGGAACAATTCGGTCATCTTGAGGACCTACTTCCCCTACGGAAACCACGAGAACCACAAGGCTTACATTTCAATGTGGAATATCTACCGACGACCGACGGGTTTCATCCACCGCAAGCCTCACTACCCAAATAAGCTGGCAAACTTCTACGGTTCGTCGCTTCGAGTAGCGCTTTTCGACACTTTGCCATTTATGAAGCTAGTTCGGAATTCGAACAATCGTACCATTGACTATGATGGAATCGATGGACATCTACTAAAGATGATCTCTGAATCCCTCAACTTCACCGTCAAACCCATCGAAGTATTGCAAAGCGAACTCTGGGGATCACTTAGTTCCAATGGAACTGCTACCGGTGCCATAGCCATGGTTTTAAACGGAACTGCTAACCTGACGCTCAGCTTTTTCGGGAATAACCCCCTGCGCCAGAAGTTCATGTCTTCATCACAAAGCTACTACCAGAGCTCCCTCATTTTGATCGTCACTCCAGGAGCCGAGTATGGAACCTTCGCGAAGCTACTTCTCCCTTTCCAGTTAACGCTCTGGATCGGCTTCAGCATGGTCCTTGTCAACGCTTTACTAACCATTGCCATCCTGAAGTGTTTCCCACCGTCCATTCAACAGTTTGTCTACGGTCGTGCAAATTGGACTCCAGTGCTTAATTTCTACCTGGCGTCCCTGGGGTACGCAGTGAACCCTTCACCGACCCGCAACTTTGCCCGATTCCTACTCATACTATGGATCTTCGGTACCTTTATCCTACGCACGGCCTACCAACAGGAAATGTTCCACTTTCTCCACCACTCTCTTAACCGCTCCACCGTACGCACTTGGGATGAGTTCACCTCTTCCGGATACCACATCTACCTCGCTCCGTCGACACAGTACATCTTCGAGAACTCGCACGCATCAATCAAGCGCACTCTTTGTTCCACTCCTAGATCTGAGTACAAGTCCATACTGGAAGCCATTCGCTACGCTCGGATTCGCGGTGCTCGACTCAGTTATCCGGAGAACTTCTACTATCTGAACCAGCAAGCCCTGCTCGACGGAGGACCTTTCTACGAGCAATTCAGTGAACGTATCTACAGCTATCCGATCCACATATTCTTTCGCAAAAACTCCCCACTGGTGCTGACCTTCAACAAGCAGATTCAACCGCTAATAACACACGGCTTCATACGCCATTGGGCTCACTTGATTCTGAACCGAAATCTTCTTCGTGATATTCGAAACCGAGCTGCACAAGCCCGTACCGAGCCGCTGACCGTACGTATGCTGGACGGGGTATTTGGAATTTACGTCATAGGACTGGTTTGCGCCGGACTGAGTTTTATCGCTGAAAAATCTATCGCTTTTTATAAGAAACTAAGAGCAAAATAAAATGAACACTAATTGTTGCTTTCTGAGTTGGATCTATTGTCATTGCTTTCGTCAATAATTACCGGTAACCTGTATAAAAGCATCTGCACTGATTGACGGATAGGCTCATTAGTGTAACTATGCTTGTTAGGCTGCTAATGGTCACTGCGGTGCTCCGCTTGGCACAACTGAATTCATCTTCGCTGGAAAAAACGACAGTTGCAGTATTGTTGAGAGATTTTCGGCATCCATTTGCACCGGCCCTTATCTCGCAAGCAGCTACGTCATCGGAAACAGGTCAGCGCTTGAGGGACGTAATGGAAAAAGTAATCATTCAGTTGAATGCATCGGTTACCATACAATTCAACATGCTGTCCGAGGATCCCTTTCGAAAACCCTGCATTCGTAGCGTACTGTTCATCGATAGCTACGAAGCGTTTAGAACACTCTACGATGGTTTGTCAGTCGAGCGCTACGACTTCGCTGGAAGATACCTGGTAGTCTACAATGGATTGGCTGATGAGGACTTTGTTAGACGTGTTTTTCAAGATATGTGGACCTTGCAGATCATCAATGTCGTGATGGTTGGACGTGGAGACAATGGTACTAGACTGTGGTCATACGTTCCATATGCCACGGGAAGCTGCGCATTAGTAAACTTGGTATCGCTAGATACGACTAATGAGTTCTATTCGGACAAAACAACGACCTTCCACGGGTGCCCGTTCAAGGTAGGCTCATTCGAAACTCGACCCTATACGATCATGGATCGCTCCAATGTAGACAAACTCAAAATGAGTGGCTTCGAAGGAGATCTCCTGGACACGTTGACGGAGAAATTCAATTTCACCATTCAAATCTACGAACCACAAAATGGCGAACAGTGGGGATATGCACTGAAGCAAAATAGTACGGGTTTGATGAGAATGATTCAAGAAGGCGAGGTAGACTTTGGAATCTCGTGTCTGGGTATCTCCGTAGCCAGAAGCTCCATACTAAAAGCAGGGATAGCTCACTACACTACAGCTTTGGTGCTTGCCGTACCGAAGGGCCGGCCGTACACCGCATTCGAGAAACTATTCCGGCCATTTGAAGCTAACATATGGTGGATTACCGCCACCACCATTGTAGGAGCATCATTCATCATCGCCAGCATTGAACTCCGCAACCGAGCCGTTCGCAACTTTGTCTACGGCCAACAGATTCGCACTCCGTACCTCAACTTGGTGCAGGTTTTCTTCGGAATCGGAATGCATCACCTACCGACTAGGAACTTTGCCCGAACTCTCCTATTCTTGTGGATTTACTTTTGCTTTGTCATGAGGTCACTCTACCAGGGAGCACTCTTCCGCTACCTTCAACAGGAATCGACCTTCCCTCCGTCACGAACCATGATCGAGATTGATCGGACAGACGCCCTCTACTACGTTGTTGAAAGCGGTGAACGATACTATGAAGCATTCCCGGATCGACTTCTAAGGTAACTCTTCACATCTAGGAGATTCTCAAATTTGAACACCCTCCATTTTAGAGTCCGTCATCTGCCGCAGGAAAAGAACAACATCATCAACCGACTGGCGTGGATGATTCACCATCCAGACTCTCCGGATGTGGTTCAGGGAGGTTTGGACCATATGGCCCACCACAATTGGCTGTACGGTCGAAAGGGAGGTCAAGTCAACATCTGCCCGGAGTTCATTTCGACGTTCACAATCACCATCTACTACCCGAAGAAGTCGATGTTGACAGAACAGTTCGACAAACAGATCCTGCGGATTCAGGCTTCCGGGCTGATCAGCTACTGGATCAACCGATATGGGGACTATGAGTTTAATCAAGCCGAACCGAACGTTGGGCCTGAACCTCGGCAGCTGAGCTTCGAGCACCTGTCAGTGATGTATGAGATGTGCGGAGCGATGCTGGGTTGCAGCTTGATCGTGTTCGGATTGGAACTAACCTCCCAGAAAGTTGGTTGGGTGAAGCGTGCCTTGGACAGATTGAGCGGAATGGGAGACTTCAGAGAGTAATTTCAAAATCACTGTAGAAAACATGTTTGAAGATTTGCACTGTAGAAGTAAAGCACTGATGATTTGATATTACAGTCATCTTTCCATTTCTCGATATCGAAGGGACCATAGAGATAGGGAGCGATCGACACACAGAACAGTAACTCATTAGCCTACCGATTCTAGAAGCACTTCGGGTTCGAAACGATTATTTGTTCATCCCGTAGGGGAACTAGGGACATTATGAACACCCGGGGCAGATTGGACAGAATTTATTAACATAGATGCAACAGATATTTCATTCTTCTCAAGGGGTAATCAACTCTGCACACCTAAAGCTGTGCCGAATGTTTCAGCTGTGCCATACGTTGTGCCGAAGCGTGCCAATCAAGTATCCCCTGAGTTTGGCAACCCTGACGATTTAATGACTTTTGTGATTGTTTGTGATTGTGCAAAAAAAAAAAACGAAGCGTGATAGAGATAAATTTATGTATCTAGCCTAAAACATAAAAAATGAAGAGCCTTTAGTGTGGTGAGTTATTTCCTTTCCTTACTTCCGTTGCAATTGCTTATCTTTTGACAGATACGCGTATTTCGTCTACTACTTGCAGACTTCATCAGTATCAAGTACTCAACACCACTGGCGTTACCGTTTTCTACCACACGAACTTCGAAGTAAAACAATATTTTAAGATAACCACGAAAAAGCCAAAAGTGGTGCATTTCATAATAAAAATAGTAATTTGTTGGTCCAGTTTTGTGAAATCGCTGGTAGGAAGTCATGATAAAACTGCTTGACGAAGTGGTCCAATGCGCGGAATTATGGCACTGTAATTTCGTTGTTTTATCCAAGGTGACTACATATAGGTGTTCTAATGTGTCAAATTCATGATTCAGCCATGTTGGATTTTTGTATGGGACAGCGACCGAGTTTGTTTACAATTTGTTCTAAAACCGCACTTTTCACCCCCGCGACCTCCTCGCCTATATAGTGACAAAGCTGTATCATCATTTATATACCCACCATGGTTTTATCTACAGAAGACACCTAGACGATACAACCATAGAGGTAACTCTAAGACCACTGGGTCCCGAAGAAAATCATTATTATTTTTGGCTCACTCAGTACCAGAACAACGGTCCCAAGCAGTCCCAAGCTATTTCACTCACCCCTGCATGTTCTGCATGAATCCACACACCCCTGATGTTATCTGTCAAACTTTCATAGCGAATCAAAACAAACATAGTGTAGTAATAGAATTTCAACTAGAATAGGGTACGTTAATCGTTTGCTTGGGACCAATAGGCTACTAAAGTGGTGAGCCAATTTAAAATCGTTAGTTTCGTATTGATTGTTGATACAACCATAGAGGTAACTCTAAGACCAGAAGGTCCAGAAGAAACGTGCTCCACTTTTTGGCTCAGCTCTGGTACTCTCTTCGGTCCCAAGCTAATCGATTCACCCCTCGAAACATAGGAGAATCCACTAAACCCTCATTTTATCTGTCAAATTTTCATACCGAATCAAAACAAACATTATGTAGTACTAGAATTTCGACTAGAATGGAGTACGTTAATCGTTTGCTTGGGACCAATAGGCTAGTCAAGTTGTGAGCCAATTTTAAATCGTTAGTTTCGTATTGATTGTTGATGCAACGTCGAAGCGCACTTTAATTAGCAATTTCTCACTTTTGAGGAGTTCAAGGGCTACATTGCGCAGCCCGAAACGAAACATTTTTTGTACGAACGCTTGTATGAAAAAGTTTTTCGTTTGAGCTGCGCTATGTGGCCCCAGTATCAACTGCAACATACAATAACATCGACTATGGTGTAAAGAACTCAACCGTTGGGTTGTTTTGAATTTCCGTGTTTAAAGAGAGCGCATCAGATACTAGATTAGTGTCATCGAAGCTGAACTTGTGATGCATAGAAGTACCAAACCAAAACAAAATAGAGAAAACAAATCCGCAGTCAATTGCATTCATTAATTTCCTGCAACCTCTTCATAAAGAAATCTAACCTACTAACTTAATTTCCTGTATGATTGTCGGTAATTTACACGAAATGTCCCCGAGCGATACCACTGTGGTGGAAAAGGTGGCCCTAGAAAAACTTGTTACCTTCTGCGAACGTTTGCAGCGTACGTATCAACAAATCAGGACCCTCTCTAGCACGGAACGTTCCAATGTGGACAAAACTGTAGCCAAAGCATCGCGGTATGAACAGCTGCAGAGAATCAACAACCCAGCGGCAGCGACACCTTGCTACTCCGAACAACAGGTGGAGCAGATTCAGATAGAGAGCCTTCACGAAATCAACAACCGACTGATTGCCAGTGGACAGTTGATGTAAGTTGTACCCTCTATAAACGGGTGGTGATTTGATTCATAACGTTTGTTATAATTTGTAGCCGTCAAATGGTGAACGATTATCACGAACTGCTCAGAAGCTACCAAGAGCTCGAGCAAGCAGCACAGAAACTTCACTGGCCCGGAACCGGATGCAATCTCATCGCTGGAAACGCGAAACGGAAACCCTTGGAGCATTACCTTCAGGGAGGATTTCGGATCACGTATCAACTGAATGGATTCGTGGCTCGACTCAAGCTTGTTTTCAGTGCCGTTGACGTTCGGCAGGTCGGCTCCATACAAAAGTTTCGCGATAGTCTGAAGTTGTCCGATGAACTCGATCTGTATTTACGGGAGTTTCTCGCTTATGCTGTGTTTGTTTGCTGAATAAATGAATAATGAACTTAGTGAAGCTTAAATTGAATTAATTATTCTTATAGTACGTTCAGACTACAGAGCTATAACATGTTACACTGCCTATAATCGCATATCATCAGTCCCATGTGGATTTTCGTCGATTTCGAGATAACAGCGCTATCAACTATCAATTGGTATCTACTTTACTTTTTACTTGATAAAACTACGGACTTTGATCACGAAAAATGTGAAAACAACATCAAGTCAGTTTGCCCCATCTAGCAAAATAATCGCAAATCAGTTCCATCCTGGAATTCAATCGTCCATAGTCGAAGTTAAAGTTATGCTTTTCAAATTTCAACATTTTTCGCTGATGTAACAAGCTTCATTGCAACTATTTTTAACATGAAAAAATTATCAAAAAATTTACTATGATTTACTATGAATTATTGCACTTCGTTACTTAGGCCGTTCGCAATGCTGTTGTTTTTTATTAGGACTGTTTCAATTTGAAACTAGAACAGAAACGCACCTCTCGCAATGCTGAGTTGCAGTTTCATTATTCGAGCACTATTTTGCACCAGATTTGCAACTGCTCGACTATTCTGTTTTATTTCTGAGCGAGTTTGAAACACGAATGGAACTCTGTTTCAAGTTTCTTTGGATGTATTTAAAGATGTTTCGAAGAGCTTCACAAAAAACTCTATGAAATTCTCCGTTTTTATTTGTGAAGCTCTCGAAACATCTCTAACACATCCAAAGAAATTTGAAACAGAGTTCCATTCGTGTTTCAAACTCGCTCAGAAATAAAACAGAATAGTCGAGCAGTTGCAAATCTGGTGCAAAATAGTGCTCGAATAATGAAACTGCAACTCAGCATTGCGAGAGGTGCGTTTCTGTTCTAGTTTCAAAATAAAACAGTCCTTATAAAATACAACAGCATTGCGAACGGCCTTAGGTGGCCTTTTTCTCAATGCCTACTGTTTACTTGTAACAAAGATTTTATAATAATTAACCACTTCATTCGAGCACTTAAAATGACATTTACTACCACTCGAACTTTGAAATAAAACATTATTTTGATATTTTTGCTTCTAGAACCTCGAGAAAAGTAGCCAAAATTTGTGCGTTTCATAAAAAAATAGAAATTAGTTGGTCCAGTTTTGTGAAATCGCTGGTAGAAAGTCACGCCAAAACTGCTTGACAAAGTGGTCAATTATCAACAAGAAAAATGCCATCAGATAGACTTATAACATGTTCAGGCCTATTATGCGCGTCATGTGAGTCGCTAGTGAAGTGACAAAAGTCACGTCGTGTGCCGTAACCTCGAATGTCACTTCCCCAAACCCCAGCGAGGTAGTGTAGCACAATCCCGGTCTAGTGGTAGGAAACGTAATTTTAAAAGATTTTAAACTGCTCCACTGCGATTCATTAATCACATAGCCGAGCAGTTTTAAAATAACTGCTCAAATTACGGACCTTGCGCATGGCGGGAGATGACACTGTTTTAACCTTCCTAATGAATTAGGAAAAAAGTAGAAGGGTCTGTGCCTAGGGGCACGAACGGAATCTTGACGTAGGACCGCTAGTGGACGGAACAAATTTGAAGAGCATCTATTATCTCTAGATAGAGCTGGAATTAAGGCGTAACAGCCTTTGTAAACAATGACTTCTATCGATGATTTCTAGGAACTCAAGGCACGCCCACGCAAACCAACATAACCGTCGGGTAGGGGAAGTCTTCTCCTACCCGATGGTGTTGTTGATTTGCATTGGCAAGCCTCAACTATCTAGAAATCATCAAAAGAAATCATTGTTTACAAAAGCTGTTACGCCCTAATTCCAGCTCTATCTAGATCTTAACTCTTCCCGTTTGTGAATTGTAGGTGTACCAAATTTGTAGTAATTTTTTTCAAAGAGAAAGTTGATGAAGAGAATCGATCAAAATACTTGCACCCCTGTTTCCAAGTTTGGTTATAAGATTACATCTCTGGAGAGCATTTTGTGTGGCCGTTGGGGGCGTGTGGTTCTGAATATGGACAAACAGGCACAGATAAGTTCTGTTCCAGATCTTTCCTGTTATAAGCTTGTTGGTACTGAAAAGGGCCGTTTTGTTGCTAAAGTTGGTGATGATTTAACCTCCGAAACCGTACATAGTGCGTCTGTCGCGTAGACGACAGCATCAAGGATCACATTTCCAGGAAAACCTTCAGCACACCTCGTGTTTTCTCGTAGATCAAACCGGAGATACGTTTGACACCGCCCCGGCGAGCCAGACGACGGATGGCGGTTATCACGAAGAACCTTGCGATGACGCTTGGTGCCTCCTTTACCAAGACCTTTTCCTCCTTTGCCAGTCTGTTGCTTGTTGGGTAGAAGAGTGGACTACCTAACCTTCCACTACCTTCCTACTGCTGCTGTTGATGCTTCTGCTGCCTGCTCACCAAGCCGTCCGAAGCAGTGTTGTTTTATATCATTTCAGGTTAAAGCAGAATGATGTGCAACCAAGTGGTACTCGATTATGACGACTGGGTTTGGAAAAAAACGTTTATTTCATGAAAACAGTGATAAAATTATCACTTTTTTTGTACATTGGACAATGCTTGAGATCACCATTTTTTCAATAGTTTCTTGTTGAAAATTATCAGTCGAAAGTATTGCTATTGATGCGTGGAAGTATTTCTGTTTGATTAGAGATAAAATTATTGAAATTGGTCCAGAGGCAGCTGAGTTATTAATGTTCAAAATCTTTCATAATATTGTTACATGTTCCATTTTCGGGTTTCGCAAAGTGTACCCCCACATAGAAATCACAGACGTAGTACTACGTCAAAATTACAGAGAGGAACTTCGGGGAGCAGCCGCTGTTGCAAGAGTTGGGAACCCCCCAGCAGTCAGCAGTAGCGAGACGGTTGTTGAGTGGAAGCGGCGATAGCGCCGGAATCGGACGCCATTGGACGATGGCAGGAAAGTAGTGGCCCGATGTGCAGAAACAGGTGGGACAAGAGTGCCACCCAAAATAATTTTGAAAATAAACACATTTTCCATGTAGCTTATGATGATGATAGTGTTCCACTCATTGTAGCATGGAAACTGGTCCGATAGCTGTGGGCTCTCCTCACGGTTGAACTTGATCAAGCTTAATAACCCTGATTGTCATCAGCAAATAACTGTATGAAGAGCCAAAAACGAATGGATGGATTGATAAGCAATTCGCCTATTTATTTCCTTGGGACAGTTAAGAATCTCCTTCCAACAACTTGATCAGAAAACGACAGAAAGCCCCAATGAATGGGGAGAAGAGTCCGCCCTTTATCCAAGAAATGTTAGCAACAGAGAGTTGACATCTTCACTCTACCCATCCAAATCGCTTCAATTTAGTGCCCTAATGGTCCCTCCTCATCCCGAATTTTTTAACTACAGTAATATGTAATATAATAATCAGATAATCAGAAGCATAAACGTCTACAAACATATGCGAGTCGTTTGAAATCTACCGAAAATAAATGATGGCTAAATTGATTCTTAACATAGAAGCGTAGATGCATGTTGTCGGGATTGAATGCGCATGTTTAAATATCGTTGATCCAGTTACCAGTCATATAAATTTGTATTTCATCTAGCTATGATTATTGTCAATAATACTTACATTTCGATGAAGATGGTGCTACCTATTTTACCTTTTATGTGATATCAATCATCACAGAAGCCAATCTTAAATCGTAGACCAGGTCCATTAACAAAACACTCGTTCCGAGAATATTGTATATTCATCTTCTTCTTCTTCAGATTCGCTCACCACCCAGAATGAACGCTCGGTGCATCATAGATTTGATATGGTTAGTAATATCAAATAGTGTTACATGCAAACGAAAAAGAGATACAACCAGGATTAGCTTTTTAAAATAAAGGCTCTTATTACCGATGTCACTTCACGGTGAAGTGACAAGTTATCACTGACGGTGAAGTGGTTCCCATTTGATTTACACGGCAATCACTTCACCGTGAGTGACAACTGGTCACTTCACTTCGTTTTCACCGTAAAGTGACACTCGTAATAAGGGTCAATAGTTTCATCTGAATACCTCAGGGATATTGTCTCACTCTGAACCTACGATTAAAGTTATTTTGTTATTATATGGATACTAGGATACTAGCATAAAATGTTGTGCAAGTACCACAAGTCTTAGTTAAGCAACAGCCAAGTATGAATCAACGAACACCAACATGATTATCTCAGGAACCTACGAGAGCAGCGTGCATTATCAAGACTCCGGACTGGTTATTCTAAGATTCATTACAACTTCGAGTAGTTTCTGTCCGTAAAACCTGCTGCATATGCGCACCCCTATTCTGTATTTCGTTTCGAACGAAATTCTCATACAAAAAAATATTTTTTTGTATGAGAATTTCGTTCGAAACGAAATACAGAATAGGGGTGGCGATTAACCTGTAACAGTGGAACACATTCTGTGTAACTGCCCGGAGTTCCATAATCTCAGGAAGACGGCCTGACATCGAGCTTCCGGGAATTGCTCGGGGACGAGACCCCAGAATCCGCAGCCTTCCTAGTGTTTTTAAAAGAAGCACACTTTTTTCTTTTACTAAGTATTAGTACAAGACACTGAAAAAGTCTGACATGTCATCGAAGTGAATATTCATACCATCCATAATACACCAGGGAAAAGGAGAGAAGTGAGCAACACAGCATCCTTACCCATGGGGTTAAAAAACTTCTGCGAGGTACACTTATACTGAACCAGCTGCTCAGGGATTGTAGAAAAGAGAAGGGTTGGGTAGGTTTTGTGTGAAAAGCACATAAGTTAGTATCGTATCGTTGAACAATGGCCTCATTTTGTTTGCGCTACGTCGAAACTGAGGCTCGATTTCCAAATCCAGGGCTGTCATCTATGACCAATAAGCTCGATTGGCTCGATTCAGCTCCAACCTTGCAAGAACTCCGTAAATATATGTCTCCAAAAATGTATATTGCATCATTCACATCCTAAGATGCTATTTTAGCTAACAAAACTGCCTATCTATAGCGCGCTCCTTATAGTTGCTCCTATCGATTCTGATTTAGTTTTTAGTACTGTTCCACATGCTCTCTAACACCATTTTTGTTGTTTTGTATTATCTTTTCCTACAATTTGTGAATATATTTGCCTGCTGGCCTGTCTCACCTAAACATTCAACATGATTGTTTAAACAGGACCACTCCTGCACATTCACAAAAAAAATGGAGAAATATATAACCTACGAACAATTTTAATCTTTATCAGTGTAGATGAAAATTACGTTAACAAAAAAAAATGTAAACTTTGTCCCTCTCAAATCTAGCATGTGAATGCATGTTTGCGTGTGTGAGTGAGTGAGTGAGTGAGTGTATTGGCTGAGAATTTGATTAAAAAAAGATTTGTATTAAAAGATCAACTTTGCACATTTAGAAACGTAACGAAAAGAAACAGGAACCCCACAAATGATTCGTTAAAAAATGAATAACTAAACTACATCGGGAAAACTCGGAAAACATCCGGAACGATGCAGAAGAAAGAAGCCTCTCAACCTGAGTTCTTAGAGGGAAAATACAAGAGGGGAGAGCAAAATTTGAGGATTAAAACGAGGGGTAAGAAGGATGAGGGGAGGGAGAATGGAATAAGATTAGCTCCACACATCGGCCGAGTACCGCTTCTGGGCTTCCATCTTTTTGATGTACTGTACAGCTTCACTCTCGCTCATGTTGCCCTTGCCCTGCAGCACCTTGAGCAGAATGTTTCGCACATCGGTGGCCATATTTTTGGCGTCACTGGAGTTTCGGGGAGAAAATTTTGATTAGCTTTACGGTATTTTCGAGAAATGTGGAAGCTAAAACTTACCCGCAAATGTAGAAGTGACCCTTCTTTTCCCCTATCACATTCCAAAGCAGGTCCATGTCTTCCTCCAGCAGATGGGTGACATATACCTTCTGCGGTTGATCTCGGGAGAATGCTGCCCGAAGTTTGATTGTGCCGCGTTGGGCGTAGTCCTCAAGCTCCTGTTTGTGACGAACAAAAAGCAAAGTCATGTGAATTAATTGTTTTCAAACCCCCCACAACAATCGAGTCATCTCGTACCTCTTCATAGATGTAGTCCTCAGCTCGCTTTCGGCAGCCAAAGTACAGGATCGTCTGCCCGATATCCTTGCCATCTTTCTTGTTGATGTCGCGCTCCTGGATGAAGCCACGGAAAGGTGCCAGACCCGTTCCTGGGCCGACCATAATGACGGGGGTTTCCGTTTTTGCTGGCAATCGGAATTGGCTCTTGCGGATGAAGATCGGTACGCGTGGCAGCGGTTCGCCATTTAGAGGGTGCTTCTGCGATAGGAATGTCGTTGCGACACCATTGTTAATGCGTCCGGTTTTCGTTTCGTACTTAACCAGCACTGCCGTAACGTGAACCGTGGTGGGATACAGCTTGGATGACGAGGAAATCGAATAATAGCGAGGCTGCAGGCGAGGCAACAGCTCGCAAATGTGATCGACCGGTGGGCGGCATGAGGGAAGGTCCTCCAGCACGTGGACAATATTTCGACAGCTATCCTGAATCCATTCTTGGTACTTGGCCTTGCCTTCCGGATTGGTCGAACACATGAACCGCAGGAATTCCTTATCCTTCTCGTCGCTGCAGTATTCCGCCAACTCCTTGAGGATGTGAGTTCTTGGCAAGGCAGTGATTTCCACGTAGTGCGTCAACGCAGTTCTATATGTCGTCGGGCAAGGGAACGGATGCTTCTTGCTACTATCTGTATCGGTATTGATCAGCGAGAAAATCGTATCCAAATCGGCATTGCACAGCTTTCCCAATCTCAGCACCAAGTCCTGATTGTTGACCGGATACATGGCCAAATGATCACCGGCTTCGTAGCGCATTTTGGAACCCTCAATGTCAAATTCGATGTGCATACAGGACCGATCACCGGCCTTGTGCAATTCGCGGTTAATCTTGATCGGGGCCAGGAAGGGATTCTTTGCATCGAACGGTGGACGCTGCGTTTGCAGGGAATGCAGACGGGCCACTTCGCCCGTGTACAAACGCTCCGATGCAGTTTCCGGTTGCTCTAGCAAACGATACTGACGCATCAAGACTTCCTCACCGGAGCTTTCAATGCCAAAGTGATCGCAAACCGCTGGCCAGAACTTGTCCTTCCAGGTAATGAAGTCATCTTCAATACTAATAAAGGGAAAATTCAAATTTTAAACGACCTCTTTAACCACAAAAATAAATAGCCGAATCTCTTACTTGGCATCATCATCTCCTAGACCCAGTTCAAACACTCTGTTAGCTCCCAGTTCCTCCAGCCGCTTATCGACATAAATACCAACCTTATTGTAGTGTTCATACGTTTTGTTACCAAGCCCAAACACCTGAAAAGCAACAAAAAACTAATGTAAAAAAACAACGACCAACACTAACATTCAACTTTCAGTGAAACTATAATCGTCCTAGCTAAAATTGATTACATAATGAATAAGTACTATTCCCAAGTTCACCCCTTTCGTTATGCCACACCTTGATTAAACTCTGTTTCCGTCGGAATCGTCCACTAGCTTTCGGATCCTGCCGTATACTGTTCAGCAACCACCGGAACCAGGGCCAAATATTGCCTGCGGTGACTTCTTTGCCAACTACCGGAACCGTCGGCACCAAATAGGTGCTCCCGTTTCGCACTACCACCCTGGCCGGATTCCAACAGCGGCCAATCATCGTCTTTTTATTTGCGATAATTGCTCCCACACGACGAAAAATATGAGAGCTATTTCATTTTCAGGAAATCACTATTCTTTAAATCGGAGACAGATTTTTTCTTGCGCAACGTACCGAACACACGTCACGCTCGGCCGAAAGCCGATGGAAGAATGAGGAAGGACCAAAACACGACTAGCAATGACAGCGAGAAACGTCAACGCGAAAAGAGCACGTGAAAAACGTGAGTGTGTGCGTGACGTCGCGCGCGTGATGAAGAGATGGTTCAGTTCAGTGTACACTTTTTGCACAGTTGGAAATAGTGCTAAAATGTTATTCACCAAAACTAAGTTTTAATGAAAAACAAGGAAAAAGTGATTGAATTTAACGTGAAAATTGTGTTTTTTTGCAATAATAAAACGATTAAATGCTCCTGAAACCTTGGAAAAATGCTCTTACACTGCGTAGCTTCTCAGATTTACTAGTCTATGCTAGGGTAGTTTCCCTATTGTGCAAAAATGCTACATACGGCTTAATCAAAATAGTCATTTAAATTCGGCAGCATGGAAACGCCACAACAAACAATTTGAGCTGAACAAAAGTTGAACATGCAAATTATTATGTGAAGAAGCATATTTTTGCCTGATTAAGCTTTTATGGGGCTGTTAGTGTGGGGCAATAGGTATTAAAACGATGAAAAATGCTCCTTCAACCTTCGAAAAAAACTATTTAACCAATCGGTGGAAACTAACGATTTTACCCATTCTAGTCGAAATTCTAATACTACAATACGTTTGTTTTGATTCACTATGAAAGTTTGACAGATAAAATTAGGGGTTCGTGGATTTTCTTATGTTTCGAGGGGTGCATCGATTAGCTTGGGACCGAAGAGCGTACCAGAGCTGAGCCAAAAAGTTGAGCACGTTTCTTTGGGACCTTGTAGTCTTAGAGTTACCTCTATGCTTTTACTGCGTAGCTACTCATATTTACTGGCCTGCCCGCGTTTTTTGTTTAGTCAGAGGAGCGGAGCGACGGACAAGCGTCTAGAATGAGCTTTCAAAGAAAAAGTTTCTAAACAAGATTCTAAAAGATGCTTCTTTTGGCAGCTTATTCTAGACGCTTGCCCATCTAGGCTTCTCTGATTTAAAAATGTGGACAGGGACAGGACAGGGCAGTAAAACCAACAATCAATACGAAACTATCGATTTTAAATTGGCTCAGTACTTGACTAGCCTATTGAACCCAAGCAAATCGATTAACGTACCTCATTCTATTCGAAGTTCTAGTACTACACACTGTTTGTTTTGATTTGCCATGAAAGTTTGACAGATAAAATGAGGGGATCGTGGATTTTCCTATGTTTCGAGGGGTGCATCGATTAGCTTCAAACTTTCATAGCGAATCAAAATAAACATTGTGTAGTACTAGAATGGGGTACGTTAATCGATTTGCTTGGGACCAATAGCCTAGGGCTAGTCAAGTAATGAGCCAATTTAAAATCGTTAGTTTCCACCGGTTGGTAAAACAGAGTTTTACAATGTGCAAGGATCATTTCATCGTAATAATATTGCGTTTCCATGCTGCCAAATTTAACTGACTATTTTGATTAAGCCGTATGTAGCATTTTTGCACAATAGGGAAACTACCCTAATATAGGTTGGTACTAGAGCTGAGCCAAAAAGTTGAACAAGTTTCTTCGGGACCTGCTGGTCTTAGAGTTACCTCTATGCAAATATTGCATATTGTAGGTGAAGTAATCGCCGTACTGTCTGGCAGCTTCAAAATCTCAATTTGTTTACATCTGCTACATACAACCTATTCAAAAAGCAATCCAGATAACATCGAAACATAATCATTCAGCTAGCAGAAGGTCTTGGGTTTAATTCCAGGCCCGTCCAGTTGAAAAAAAATGTGAGTTTGCTTAATTAATCATATTGTCGAGCAATTTTTGAGACGACCTTCTACCAGCGATTTCAAGAAAATGAATCTATGAATTCCAGATTTATCTAGCTCTTTCAAAATATTGTTCCATGGCAATGTTCGAGTGGTAGGAAACATTATTTTGAAGTGCTCGAATCATGTGATCCATTGGCAGCAACGTTAACCAAATGCATCCTATAATCACAGAACAGAAGGGGAAGTGCAAACAAATCGGTGAATCAAAAAGTGGTACGTTTTTCTGCTCAACAAGCGATACGATGTGGTAGCGTTCCACACGGGCTTTCTATGCGCACTCACACTATCATAGCATGCTGCCTATATTAACTGCAGGGAGAAGATGCCTTCTACCGCTAGGTGCGCTAGTGTTCGCCAAATAATAGTGGCCACTTTCTGATCCGAAGTTCCACTTCTGTTCTGTGCTATAATCTACCCTTCCTACTAACAATGTTCACCTGTCGCGCGATACTTATACCGAATGTGTTTTTGATTCAGTTCCAACCTGGATCGATTATCAATATTGGGTGCACCCAGGGAAGACAGATGTATTTAGAAAACCCAGACAACCAGAAGTCGTATAACAATGTACAGAAAGTATCGTAAATTGCTACAGTTTAAGTCAACATCGCATGTAAGAATGACATAGCGTAGATAGGGGCAATATTCAGGTTGATAAAGATAAAGATTTGAAGATCTTAAATTGTTTAAAATTTCGAATGGCATCTTTCAGATATTCTTCCAATATGGCAGGTTGCTCAGGAAGCAATTAAAGATCTTCAGCCGATTGAAGATTTCTGAATATTTTTTCGAGACTTCAAGTTGTTCACATACTATTTTGAAGATCTCCAGCTGATGAAAAATTAAAAAACGTCGTCTATCAGATATTTTCCCTAGTCAGCAGGTTGGTCAGGGACTATTCAAAAGATCTCTGTCCTCTGGATATTTGTTCAAAACTTCTGGTTGATCGTGTATTATTCTGTCGGGATGATAGGGACGTATTCAATAGATCTAAAGCTAATCGAAGTTTTCGATAAAGTTCTCTTGAAATTTTTCAAGACTTCGGAACATCAACTATTATTCTGAAGATCTTCAACTGTTCAAAAATTCAAATGTCATCCCTCAGATAATCTCTTAATATAGTAGGGTTATCAGGAAGTAGTCAAAAGATCTCCAGCTGATTGGAAATTTCAATGCAATCCTGTAAATTTTCCGGTCGATCAAGCTCAGATCAACAGACATAACATAATTGAATATTTCTCGCTATAAAACATCGTAGCTTAAACACACGGCCATCTGTTGAGTACACTGTGTTGGGCAGTAAGCTCAACAGATGGCGGTAGTGTGTAAACGTCAAACGCAAGAGAAATTTCTATGCACGCTACAGGTTGTGATTGATGAACTCGCTGACGATGACTTTAATTACGAAATTACGATTGTAGTTAATGGACTTAAAATGAGCATGGTGTAATTAAAGTAGGTAAAGCTGTAATTAATGGGATCAATTTAATTACAGCTCTTTCCTGCGTCAGAATTAATCGATTTGAACTCTTTTTAATTTGAACCTGCACGCCGAATAAGCTGACGCAGCTCACACCGAAAAAAAAAACTTACCGCATAATTCAGCCCCGAGAAGTCGACATCGTTGTTCTGAATCCAATCGTAAAGTTCCATGCAGTTATCGGTGGGATCACCCTCACCGTACGTAGCTAAACAGAACACAGCCAACGACTTGTCGATGTCCTTCAGTGAAAGTAGCTCCTCCTATTGAATCAATGTTTCAAGTAGAAAAAGAATCATCACCAAATCCAATGTCAACTAACTGAATCTTGCATTTACCATATCACATTCCTCCGGATCGGCCACCATACCCTTCATCTGGTAGCGGAGACCTTCCTTGGCCAAACGGCCGGCGAATTCTTCCGCCGTTCCGGTCTGCGAACCGTAGAATACCACTAACCGACGCCCGGACGATTTCAGCTTTTTGATGAATGAATTTTCCGCCATGGTCATCGTGTTGACGGTAGTTGGTCTATTTCAGCGAAATTAAAACAAAAGCAAAAACGGTCATTCAACGTCATGAGGGGAGCCCGGGATCAAACTCACTGTATCGAGTACGATTTGAACTGACTAGTCTGTGTGTCCTTCTTTTTGTTTTTCAGAAAATACCAGGCGGCACCGCCGATCAGCACTGTCAGTAGGATGATGTCGAGTGGGCCCAGGAATGGTTCCTCACTGACCGGTGCCGGAGGTACTTCCGGTTCCGTTTGTACGTCCATCTTGGTCTGCTACCAGAATAGTGCTCTGGGGCTGAAAGTTTAGAGAAAAGAAATTTATTATTATTTGAGAGGAGAACATAGGTCGCTGAACTATGGTAGGTAGTTGTTTCACAAAACCGGATCATTATGGATGGAAGCTGACAAAGTTCAGCTAACGCTGCGAACCGGTTTTCGGTTGCATTTTAAACTACCGAACCAGCTGATTTCGTGAGTGACTAACTTAACGTGGCGAGGAACGAGGAAATAGACGAGGAAATAATATATGCAAAGAACCACCCAGAATGGATGATCCCAAGCAATTGCAGCCTTAGAATTAAGTTTGATTGTTGTAGATGTTAATTTGGTGATAAGACAAGATGGGATTGTTGGTCTACGGTGGGCGTTAGATCACTGCGCGGGTAGGAGATGGTACGCGATCGTGTAAGCTGTTAAATAGGAAGCGTTGGGTAATTGAATTGTTCAAGTTATATAATTTGTAACCAGTGGTGTGTCTGTCTGTCTAATAATGTTGAGATTGTCGCGAATTTAGTGTTTCGAGTGGCACAGTCGAAACCGATGGACGAAGGACAGAAGCAAAAGAAATGAGAAAGTGAAGTTGAAGGTGTAGCGGAACGGAGGAGAAGGGGGTCCCCATCGACGATGGAAGACGAAGGAAGAACTAGTGAAGGCTAAGGTAGGAGATAGCCGATAAGAAAGTGGGAAGTTAGGGAAATAAATGAGACCTGTGTGAAAGTTCATGGCGGTGTGTTAAAACTATTTGAGTGTTTTCTTGGAAGCGATAGTCATGCCGACCCTGAGGCAGTGTAGAGGGGGGTCTCATTAGTTCTGGGCAGGGAGTACCCCACCGGTTACAAATTAACGGAATCTGTGATTGTTCTGATTGTTGATATCGTTAATAGTGGATTTGACATAAGCAAATGAAAAAATATTTTCAAAAACCCATCGAGGTCTGTCGAACTGAACCGTCATAACTATCTATTCAAAGTGTACAAGTAGAAACATTTTCAACAATATTTTTGGTAGGTCACACTGGCACATACAATTTTGAATTATGAAGCATGGATTGCCGGCGCCAGTAGTGGTTTAGTGGTAAGTGTGACTGCTATCTCAGCCCATTGCATCTGGTTTCAATTTTAGTCGAGGTCGTTGAGATTTTTCTAATGCTCATGAAAAGCTCATTATTTTGCCATGAGGAATGCAAAAACAAACAAAAATACGGACAGATTTAGACAGGTTTGGACCTGTTTCATACGCCGAACAGTAGAAAACATCGCAGAGCAAACCTGTTCCTAATTATAATTAAAATATCAAAAGAACTAAAGTTGAAAAGACACATCTGTGTCATTTGAGGGGGTTAGTTAGAAGGAAAGGGGTGTAAGTGACTTTGATCGATTCTCTTAATCGATTTTCTCTTTCATTAATAATTCAGCTGCAAACACATTCCTTGATTCGTGTGCCATTCTGGATGCTAGATGAGAACCTCCATTATAAAACTATGTGGCAAAAATAGCGCAAAATCTGTTTATAAAGCTGTGGCTAGCAAAAGAGAAAGTCGGTGAAGAGAATCGATCAAAGTCACTTACACCCCTTTCCTTCTAACCCCCTCATTTGAAATCCCGTGAAGACTTTTATTTTCCGCAGACATTTTGAAGACATTTCATGTTGTTTGAAGACTTTTGAAGTTAATTGGATATTGCAGTAGATTTTGGCTTCATATTTTAGGCAGCTTCTAGATTTTTTTAATTATAAGCAAGGGCGTAACCAGGTTTCTAATTAGAGGGGGCTAAATCTCGAATAAAGTGATCAAAGGAAGATGGTTGGTTGGTTGTCTTTATTGAGGAGATAAAATCAAAGGAAGAAAAATCTGCTACGGATCATCATTTGAAACCGTCGGAGTCTTCAATACAGTGCTGTTCGATATGATAGCAGCGCATGCCGATTCTCATACAAAATGGTCAACTTTGACATGATGTAACTTTGTTGTCTTAAATATGATCAATTGAGCTGAAACCTTAGTCACTGAACTACAGGGCTGTTACAAGATTTCCTAAATTTGATCCACGAAATCCACGATTTCTCAAAAGAAATCCGCGACTTCAATTACTAATCCGCGACAAAAAAAAAAGCTGTTTTCATTGGCTAAAAATAGCATTTGTATACTACTACATGGCATTTCAAGCTTATTGCTTATCCCAAGTAACAATTTGGGTTTTATGAGGGTTCTGTAGACCATGATTTAGACTTGTAGTAATGTCCGAAAAAACATCAATAAAACTTGCAATGTTGCTTGGGATAGCTTATTAGATTTTCGGCTGCTCTCAACTTAGTGTTCTTTGAGGTACTTTTCACATTTTAAGTGAGAGCTTTCTATGCCATTTTAAGTGAGAGCTTTCTGTACCATCCTATGCCCAAGGAAGTAGAGAAATTTTCCAACCCGAAAAATTAATAGACAGGACGGAAATCGAACTCAGTCGCCTCCAGCCTCCAGCCTCCAGCTGTGTCTCTGACGTATTTTGCTGTCCTAAATGTTGTAGTTAATTTGGCTCTAGTTTTCTCAATGTTTTATCGATTCAAACCAAACACCCTGCACATAATCGAGAAATTACCATAGTTTTATGAGTAATACTTGTAGGCCACTTCGCGGTTGTGTATTTACACGGATATTCCTTGGGTTCTGTCCAATGGTGAGACATTTTTATGATTTTTTTTTAATTTCTTATATGAACCTAGCACTATTCGTTGTCAAATCATAACCGAATCGTATATATGTGACTTTGTGGATCACGTACGACTTATTACTATGTATACCGGGAATTATAGGTTTTCCAAATCGTCCAGGACATCAGTTGCATTGTTCTACTAGATCAACCAAGACTGCAATAATGTCTGTAGTATCGAAAAATGTCCAATCAGATTCAAAGTGTCTATGTGGATCATGCATGATCTGTTTCCGAGTAATCCAGATGTTCAAGGTTCTTCAAATCGTCCTGGAGTTCAGATAATTTGATCTACTATATCAACCGAGATTGGGACAATGTCTTAAGTATTGAAATATTTCCAGACAGATGCACAGTGTCTATGTGGATCATGCACGAACTATTGTCATGTATACCATTTGTTTTAGGTTCTTCAAATCGTCCTGGATTTTAGATAATTTGATCTACTAGATCAACCGAGATTGGGACAATGTCTTTAGTATCGAAATATGTCTATATTGATAATGAGAAATTATTTCCACGTATACCAGATGATCTAGGTTCTCCAAATCGTCCTGCAGTTCAGATGATTTGTTTTACTAGATCAACAAAGACTGGGATAATACATGTAGTATCGAAATATAGATTTCGAAATCCTAGAACATTTGGCATACACAGAATAAGGTTGGCATGATCCACATAGACACTGCAAATTTGTTTGGGCATATTTCGATACTACAGATATTGAATTAGTCTTGGGTGATCTAGTAGAAAAATAATCTGATCTCCAGAATGATTTCAGAACCTATAACATCTTGTATACGTAGCAATAGGTCGGGTGCAATCCACATAGACACTTTGAATCTGTTTGGACATATTCCGATACTACAGACATTATTGGAGTCTTGGTTGATATAGTAGAACAAATCAACTGAACTTTAGAACGATTTGGAGAACCTAGAATATCCGGTGTACATGGCAATTCGTTTATGATTTGACAACGAAAAATGCAATGTTAATATTGGAAGAAAAAAAAGGAAAATTTCTCACATTGGACAGACCTCAGGGAATTTCCGTGTAAATCCGGTGTGACTTATGGAATTGAGATCATTTCTCGATTATTTGCAGGGTGTTTGGTTTGAACCGGTAAAAAATTGAAACCCAAATTGAACAACAAAATTGATGACAGCAAAATAATCCGCGACGGAAAGGTTGCAATGAATTTCACAATTTTTGTGACAGCACATCAGTCCCTTCGCGTTTTACGCGACATCATTTAACGTTTCCGCGATTTTCGCGATTGAAAGTTCAAATCCGCGACAACTCCGCGAAAATCGCGAAATCCACGCCTGTTGTAACAGCCATGGAACTACGAATATGTTCAATTTTACGATTACAAAATACCAAAGTTTTGGAAGCACCTGCCGCAAAGTGAGATACTAGGTTAAATTGTTCGAAATAATAGCCCTAAATCCATAACAAAAAATATGATTTCAGTATCTTCAAAATTATCAAAATGCAAGTACCCAAAAATGCTGAAACATTTGATTTATTTTAAGTTAACAATGTTAAAAAGTTAGAATATTTCTGTTAATCATCAATTTACATTTATATAAGATCTCCAAAATCTGTTAAGTAAAAACTTATACAGAGTCTCAGAATCTTAATTTTCAGATTTATCTTGGAACCTTTCAAATGATTTTTTTTTTAATTAAAAGCATCTTAAAATTCAATCTTGGAACTCCGACTGTCTATGGTAAAACCCTCATAATTGTCTTCAAACCACTCTAGAAATTATCTATTTTATCTATATTAATTCATTTCGAATTTCAAATAATTCAAGCCGAACATTGCATGGTCCTAAGTAACATTGAAAGATTCTCATCGTCGACTTTCTCGTTGCATCCCAATGGCCATGTAAAGACATTCTCACTTATTTTCAGCTCACAGGTCGATAAAAGAAGCTTTTATGTAGCATCTCATACGTCAAACAGATCAAGAAACGGTTATGTGCTCAATTTATAAACGAAGAGAATCGATCAATGTTACTTAGAACCTAATGCAATGTTCAGCTTGAATTCTAGCAGAATTAGCTTAAATTTGATTCCTTTGAATTTTTCCTCAGCATTTCTTTAATAGTATTATTAGTATCTTGGTATGCCTTCTTCTGCTCATGAATTCCCATGGAAATCAAATTTTAGATTCCATGAAATTCTGATAGGAATACCATTGCAATACTCCATGAAATTCCTTTCAGGCTCTGCTAAGATTTCCCTTGAAAATCATCTCTGAATTCCTTTAGAATAAACCATAAATTTAAATTAGTGTTCTTTCAATCAGACTTCGTTTGCTCTTTTTGCCACCCGGGACATCATCATCATCCATTGGTACGATCGGAATCTAGCACCAACATCCGGCCTTATTGGTTGTTCTTTCCGGCTCTTTTTGTTTCTTACGTGTGGGTCAGATTCTCCGATTAGCAGCCTGAATCCATTCAACCACAAGTCATCTTCGTTGACCATTTTTGCTGGCAACATCTGACCGCTCAACTGATTGGCCACACAGGATTTTTGGTTCGCTTGTATTGACCATTGGCCGTAATAACCGACACTAAGAATAGGCAAACCTATTATCGTGCCCAGTAAACCAACCCTTGAGTATAGAGATCACTGTAACAACACTGTAGTAGAAGGTCGGGAGTTCAATCCCAGGCCCACTAACAAACTCCTGTGACGTTTATGAGAGGTCGTAGAGTTCTCTGCATCTCTCTCAAGTAAGTGTACGACTAACAATTAATCCCATCCTCAGCAGTTGCAAGGACGTGGCCAGGATAAAGTCCTCTAAGTAAAAGTATGGACAACTGTCAAAAAATGTTCCAATCGACGTTTTTTTTTTTTTTTATTATTAATTTATTTGATAAGCGGTTGAGCCGAGGATTCTTGGTCACTATACAATACATCTTAAAACTATAGTCAAAAGGTACAACACAATAAACACTTTATCTTCCGCTATCCAAAAAGCCTCCTCCATCAGGACTGGAGCCGCTTCCAGTAGTTTCATTGTATGGCAAATTGTTGTACGCCAACGAGGGTCAGAGCGCTTCCATTGTAGCAATGGACGCAAAACGTGGTCAGTACTCACACATTCATCACGAAACGGTTGCTTTGCAAAGTCGACGACGCATCGACTGAAAGAACTGCTGATGAAGAACAATGAGGAGGACCACACAATGGTTGCTGCCGAGAAAACAGACGATCGCGTGGCACACATCGAGAGTGGCCTGCTTTTGTCGACAGCCGAGTGAACACTGCCAATCGACGGTGTTGACGGTCAAAATGCACTGCTTTGCTCGATTGGAACAACTTTTTTTCAGATTTGTGGTGACAGTTGTACATATTTTTACTAGAGTGCTTTAGGCCAGGACAGTTCTCGAAAGTTGGAGATAGTGCCACTTCCATCTAAGAGGACAAATCACAAATCTCGGTCAATGCGGAGACGGCAATGTAGTAGATATAAGGGTTTTGGAATAAAATTATTAAAATTTGTTGGGCAGTTAATTATTCTTCTTGTGAGTTATTGTAGTAATAGATTGGTCTTCCCCTTTTCCTTTTCGATGCGTGCATACCTCTCGCAGAACGCACAACAGAGAAAACGACATTCTATTGGTGGCTCTTTTAGAGAATGAACTACCAATAGTGAACAAACAGTAAAAAGCTGCAGCAGACCGACGGTATATAAGAAACGAACAGCGGAAGCAACAGGCATTCGATTGACAGATTTTGCAGCGAGCAGACCACCTACGGAAAAGCAGTTTACCAACTACCAGCGAAGCGAGCCGAGAAGAGTCAGCATCGGGGTGGCAGACCAAGCCGTATCGCCACCATGTTGGGTTACGACAGGCAATACTCTCAAACAATGGTCTAGGACTTGTACCATCTACAAATTTGTACAACTTGCTTTAAACAAAAAATAAAAAGAGCTACCATGGCTTTTTCCTGCTGAAATTATATTTAGAACTCCCCTGTAACTCTCCTCACAATTCCAGAGAAAATTCTCATGGGAATCCAACTTTAGTTTCCATGAAATTCTGATAGGAATATGGAATTCCTTTCTAACTTTTTATTGGAAATCTCCCCTGAATTCCTTTAGAATATACCATAAAGTTTATTTAGATCTTCCCTCAGAACTCTCATTGAATTCTCCTTAAATTTTTCATGAAGTTATAGTTAGAACTCATTTGGAATTCTCTGTAGATTTTTATTTAAATCCACCTGTAACTTTCTCCACAACTCCTAGGCAATAAAATACTTGGCTTCCATAAAGTTTTCTCCTCTCCTTTCGTGGAATCATGCTACGACATCCCCCATTGAATTTCTCCTTAGAATTCACTTAGAATGCTTTCAGAATCCCTTTTGGAATTATTCTCACATTTGCTTAGTAATTATGCTTAAATAATCTTATGAATTCTGTTTCTCAACTTGGAAACCTCCTTGGAATTAAATTGAAGCTCTTATCATTTAACTTCTCCTCAGAACTTCCTTGTAAATCTCCTGAGCATTTACCAGGAATCAAAAGGTCACACGAAATACTTAAAAATTAAAAAAAATGTTTCAAGTCCAATTTAAAAATTCTTAAAATTTATTAAGTTACTGCTACAGAATACAGTATTAGGGGTAGCATTCTCCAAGTATTCCATAAATTTAAAACATATATATGTGCATTGAAAGCCCTTGGAAAGAAGCGGTGAAGATATGTGAAGACATTTGTTCGATCTCAGTGAAAACTTTTTCTCAAAACACCTGGCACCCCTGAGTCCAGGTGGCTCATTCGATTACTTTACGCTGATTAGCATACATCATACGCAGCAGCCATGTTATCAGGCAAAATGGCAAATCACGACACTAATAAAGTCTTCCCTACCCGATGGTTATGTTGGTTTGCATGGGCCTGTCTTAAATTCCTAGAAATCATCAAGAAAGGTAATTGATAACATTACGTTTTTTCAGCTCTGTATTGATTTATATATTTGACTGAAGTTTTAGATGTTAAACTCTTGATTCAATCAAATGTATGCTTTACTCAGGATGCCCTAACCGCTAAAAATAGATCCCGATAGAAAAATATTCCACATCCCCCTTGATTTCCTTTAACCTGCATCGAGTCTCTTTCGAAGGCAATCAACACCGAGATTGAAATTTATGTAAATTTCCATAACAACAATAGGACGTCACCGAGCACTACAGATCCTAGACCTTAGCCTTTCTTCAATGGAACATCATAATCATCATCGCAGCGTGCGAAGGTCGATGAAGTGAACTACACTATTAAGTGGCAAATTTATTGTCCGGCTTGTAGGAAAATCAACGCGCAGAAGTTTCGCTGTCTTCCAAATTGAAAAAAAAATCCAATTATCGGACTAATTTTTGCATTAGATTTTTCACAATTTTCAACACGCTTAATGTGATAACAAAATTAATAAACATAAAACCAGCAAGCAAAAAACCCTGCTCTGCAATCATCTCTCCGCCTGCTTGGCGTTGCTAAGTCAGAGACGTACCTCATACTTTTATAGCTTCGCGAAACAATTTCTATCCATGCGTGTAGATCCAGCCGCAGCTTACGTGACCATATCGGTATTCGTTTATGGCCTGTTTACATATGTGCTGGTTGATAATGCTGATTAACCAAAATTAATGTAATCCGATCAAATGTAAGCCAGAAATTGATGCGCCAATCCGCACCGAAAAACTGTTTACATCATGCTAATAACCATCAGGCTCACCAGCACGTGAATCAGCACAAGTGCAAACACCCCATTATCGAGCAAGAAACGCATGGCTAGCTTTTCCCGTCACTCCCTCTGCATCAAGGGCTGTTCAACAGCTGAACTTAATTCAATCAAAGCTTGCTGAGCCACGGATCTAATATTTTCGTTGCCAAGGCCGGTTAGAATAGCCAACTATAAAACGAAACACGGCACTGGCAAACGACAAACATGAAAATTCAAATTTCAATCGGTCATTCGTATATCATTTTTCTGCTGAAGTCACGCTCGGCTTACAATTAAAGGTATTATATACGCCGATTGCTACGATACGTGCGATTACAGTTACAGGGTACTTGCGGACAGAAAACAAATAAAACTAGTATTGTGCGATCTCCAATCGATTTTTGTAGGTCTCTCACAACCCAACACTTCAAGGTTCAAATAACACAACCGATTTAAATTTCTATTGTTCTTTTCATCAATGCACAAGAAACCATTTCTGCAAAACAGATCGCCCAATTCTGCAGACAAAAACTAACTGCTACTTGTATGCAAATTTCCGGATCCGCGTCACGGTTCGCTCACCAATAAATAAACAATTTGACTCATAACCCCTCCCAATTGGCATAATTTCACCGATTTGAATTCCAACAAAAGATTCACCCCGGCGGCACTAGTCCACCTTCACAACCAAGCTCTTATCACACCTCCCTTATCATCGAAATAAGGTGTCCCATTTTCGTCGTTTCCCCACATACAAAAAAAATTACGCAGATATGGCATGAATCGAAATCTTTTCCCGTTGACGGCCGAAACCTCGACCAAGACCTCCACATAGAGTGCGCTCGATTTTGAAGGTTATGCAATGTTTCCATTCCATTCATGCGTAACCGCCGAGATGTACAGGAATCCCCCGAAATAGCACGGTGGGTAGTGCCGTCCATCCAATGCATTTTACCGACTCTCTTCCAACCAATTGAGCTGATTTTCTGCAGGTGACAAGTTTATGGTTGACCCTAATCACAAACAAAAGCCGAGAAATTGCGATGGGTGGAAGGTACCACCCTCCGCGCTATGCGGGGGAATCCTGTATGCATATCATTACGTACAATTATTAGTAGTTTAATGCGGCAGCGACGGCGTACTCAGTTCGTCTTCTCTTCCTTTCGCACACACAGAGATTGGAAGGTCAAGTACACAGTTCACTACGGCGATCTTCACGATCAGCGGAAAGAGCGGTGTGTGATGAGGCTCAAGATTCGCGACGAGATCAGCAGCTTTTTGTATCTTAAATCAGGATCACTACTATTGTTATACGCGTTTGCGGCAGCTGCTGCGTCGATCCGTGCGCTCTTTGCCTGACGAACACTGGAACAGTACTGACGGACGGTTGAATGGAATTGGACTCGGAGAACTAGCACTACTAACGCGCGTTCGAATATCGGTGTAGGTTATCCGTGCGTGCTAGCCTAGTCTGATGTGTGTATGTATTTTGCGCGATTTCGTGAGGTTGCAGAAAAATCGAATTTGATTGCAGTTGGTGTGCGGTGTGAGACTGAAACGATAGGAACACCAGAAGATACACACACGTTGCTTGAGTGTGATCTACGCTGAGGGAGGTGGCACCCGAGATAATAATATGAATAAAAACACGGAGGAAGGTTTCTCTGATAAACTCGGGTTGTTTGTGAAGGTGGAAAAAAAACTGAGAAGAAGCTACTTCGGGCACTGAAATCCGCATCATCACGGCAATAAAGTCTAGTTGTCGCGAGCGATCATAACAAACTATCCGCGTTGTTTTCGTGTTATCCTAAAATACGGAATTTCCATACCCCGATGATTCGTAATAGTTTCAAAACAAAGCTATCGTGGAAATTTCTAAATATATTCGGTTCGGAAGCGCCCAATACTATCAAATTTTCATATGTTTATCAAGATAATAACAAAGGTCATATCAATCAAGATAGCGTTGAAACGTGGCTCCAAAAATGATTGCTGGAGTGCATATTTGAAGCTAGACCAGCAATTGAAATAGGCGGAACAAACAGACGAAAATTTCGCGAGGATCAAGAAATCATTAATAGTAAACAATCACCTAATACTACGGTTGGAATTTATTACACCGAAATACCCCACGCTGAGACAAATACACTTAGGAATTCCATAACAACCACTTATGATTTTTCGCCACAAGGATTTATTATGGGAATCACACAGGCAATTAGATCAGCCTAAATTTGAGTTTACTATTGTGTCTTTCACGAATATTTAGACTATAGAGACGAAATTGAGGGAGCTCGTAGATGGTTCAAATGTCAAAAGCTACCACCTTTCCCTATTTACGTCATGTGTCTTGATCATTAAAATTTTGTAAATAAAAGAAACGTCAGTTAACATCGATGTTCAACTAAAAACGTAACTATATCATAAATACTATTGCGTAAAATGGCATCTATTATTTCCGTTGTGAAAGATCAGAGAGCGTCAGTGAATACCATATAGGGGAAATGACGGCTTCGGCATGACAGACTATTTTCGGCAACCCAAATTGAAACACTATTTTCACTGATTTTTTTAGGAAAAACTCTTCGCTGAATGCATGCAAACGATTCTTTATGCTTTCAGCTTCAATTTGACTATATTTTTACCACTGAGAAAAAGCAATCTAGCAGGGTTTTCTTGAAATGAAACACACGCACTACAAATTGTAGCTGATTTCGAGTTGCCGATAATAGAACAGCAGATTTACATGCAGTTCAAATGGAACGGTTGCCGAAGAAAAACTGGTTGCCGACAATACTCGCTCTCACTAGAGAAGATTGGAGCTTTGTAAAAGCGTTTAAAAACAGTTTTTGACAATTATTTCGACTGAAATTGTTAGAGCAGCTGGCAGCAAAAGATTGTAAACAAACCAATACTGCATATGTGTGCGTTCCATAGAGAAAAAAGGCTATAGAAAGAAGGTCGCTGCTTAGGTTGCCGAGAATTCGTAAATTCCCCTATCATGTTTTATATGGATATTATTTCCTTGGATTGTCCAAATCGAGGCTAGCAACAATTTATCACAAACACAAGTCCACAATCACAAATTGGATCATGCGATACGAGGAGGACGGATTCTATTCTCGCCGAAGTTACGAAAGGGATGCTGTGAAATTCTCTCCCGAAAAACGACAATGGTTGATAAACCTGTATCTACAAAATCCTACGCTTCATCTACATGAATCTAGAAAGCGGTTCCAGCAGGAGTTCAAGACGACAATATCTATTTCATCCATTTGGCGCATCATACATAACGCTGGTTTGACCTGGAAATGTTTGGAACGTCGTGCAATTCAAATCAAGGAAAATGATGTAATCCGTTTTTTCAACGAAATTTCGTGCATTCAGTGGGACTACCACAACCTCGTCTTTTTAGACGAGGTTAGTTTCGATAACAGATCCATGTTACGCTCCAGGGGCTACGGAGTTCGAGGCCACCGCTTAGTGTTTCGAGGAGAATTTGTGCGGAAGCCTAGGGAATCCTTGCTTTGTTTCATTGGGCAAAACGGAATGCTTGAAGCCTTCTCTACCAACGGAACATTCAACCGACTAAACTTTTTTGTAACCTTAGATTGTAAGTTTGATTAACCTTGTGTTTAGTTTGTGTATTGTGCGTGTAGGTTTTTTTTTTAATGTTTGTCTTCAAGATGAATAGAAATAAGTTCATGTTTTAGGATTAATTAAATATTTGTATAATAAATCATATTTCAAACCTCCTTCTCCCTTTCCCCATTCAAAAAATTGTAAATCTCCACTAACCTCGAGACGACCGCGAGTAATCGGTTCAATTCCTTTAACTCTAGATTTAAGACATTAATTATGTATAATGAAAATGATAACTCGGCTCTGTAAAGTTTATTCGATTGAGCCTGTACAAATAAATTAATATAAAAAAAAAAAAAAAATAAACTTTTTTGAATGCTGCCGACGATTTGCTCTGGAAACGGGCCATGTTCAGTGCTATCCGGGTAGACATTCCATATGGATATTGGATGGAGCGAAAATTCACTGCAGTGCGAAAATCATAGAATATCTTCGATCAATTGGAATATTCCCTATCTTTCTACCTGCGTATTTCCCCTTCTATAACCCTATTGAAGTCGTTTTCGGATTATGCAAGCGACAAACTCAAGCTATCTATCAGGAATGTGTAAAGAAAGGAATTAAACCAGTAGTAGCTGAAGTGATGGCTACCTTTAGAAATTATAACATGTCTAACTTATTCAGGAAGTGTGGTTACCTGAGAGGAGGAAAATTTGATCCTTCGGTTGCAGATGTGTTTGATTTCAAGAATATTGAAACAGATGAATGAAACATAATCAATGCAGAAAAGTTCTAATTTCTTTGATCTTTCGTATTTGAAAACCAATAAAATAGAAAATATAGTAAAACAATGTATTTGTCTTTATTCATTAAAACAAGTTATCTCAACTCATTTGCAAGTTGGCTTATTCGTGGTCTACATCCTCCATGTCAACTACCTGCCAGCAATATGTCGACTGAACTCTCCTTCGGAAACTTCCATTGAAGTTTCCATCGCACTTATGAATGAATCACTCATGCGTCCACGCTGCTCCAATGCTTCGATGCGATGCTTCACGAATGAAATTTGTAGCTGCATATTCTTGGCTACCATCTCAAGTGAGGAAAACGCTTCCTTCAGCGCTGTGATCTCTTCACAAAACGACGCATTTACATTGTGAGCTACAGCCAACCCACGCTTCACAGTTTCAATTTTCGGACCGTCCTGTGTTCTGAAAAGATGTTGCAGATGCTTTGGAGGAACTAAATTAATCATGTTCTCACGCGTATGAGCTGGCGAAGCAAGTATGGCTGATGCCCACATTGTCCATGCCATTTCGTGTCCATCCCAAAGATGACCATGTCGTTGACGCAAATCCTTAGATAAATCGACGACCACTTGGGTTGAGGCTGCTCCTGCCTTATCGCGCTCAGATGGGTCAATCAAATGTTGCTTCACTGAATTGAAAATCTTACGGGAACTTACGAACAGTGAATAAACATGCAACAGCAGCTGAATTTCTTTTCCTTTCCAGTTCTGAAGCAACGTGGTGGTCAGTTTGTCCAGCGAAGTGTACTTACGATTTTGCTTCTCGTAAAAAATGGCAAACCTCACCAAATCTTCTTCTTCCAGAGAATCCTTATCCATCCATGCTGGCACCGTGCTTCCATCGTATTGCTGATTAAAAATTACTTCTCGAAGTAGATGTGGTCTGCATAGCTCCCATAATTTCGTCTTAAAATCATTGAGCGACTTTCCATCTACATTCCAGTGCGCAATATGAGCTCCGGAGGACTGACCTTTAAATTCACGCAGAAACACCAGCAGTCGACAGTTGAACAACGCTGGAGATTTGTTTCCTTTCGGCTGAGTTACGTGCTCAGGTGCATCAGGCTGCTCATGGCTTGGATCACTGTCGGGGTCGCTCCAGTCATAGTCGAGAACCTGAACGTCTTCGAATAACGGGTCATCGAGTTGATCCGCCATCGGGTCTTCGTTCTCATTGCCATCCTCCTTGTCTACATCCTCACCATCATCGTTACGGGATGCCCTTCTGGAAGCCATTCGTTCCTTTTGCAGAAGGTTCCTACAAATATGATATTATTACATCGGTTGAATTTTAGTTTGCAAATCACCAATCTTACCAATTTTGTTGTAAAACAGTTTAAAATAAATCACTTAAAAGCTAACTTTTCGAGCGGCTTCAAAATTTCACAAAAAACAAACAACAACAAACTTTTTTTCATTTTTTTTTCACTCGATTTCCATTCTGTCAACAATGTTCAAGATGTACGAGAGTATGTATGATGTGAGATGTATGAGAGCGAAATCGATAGCGAAATATCGTAACGACGAAATTGATATCGGTCGAGTCAATTCATAGATGCTTGACAAATCTCACGCTAGCGAATCTACGAAACGTATTTTTGTTATTGATTGTGATGGTTCTCCTTTTAGACTGTAGCGATTTTAACTTCGACGATCGCATATTTCGCTTTCAATTCAGCGACACGCAACGCGACCCACACAATAAATACTAATAAATAATTGTATTCTTTTGAATTAGTCGCGTGTTGCGTCTACTCTGGCGGCTACCTGAAGCATCGTCTCCTGATATTTACTTTCGATTCCTTCATTCACGTACTTCTAGCTGATAATGGTTACAAAACAAATCCAACTGGTGCATGTAAACATCAAGAAAAACCTGAAACCGTAAGAGTGGCCGAAGATTCTGGCAGCTTCCAG